TGCTTGGGTTCTCCGAGAAGCATGTGTCCTTTCAACTCCTCCGGTATCGTGCGGTCTTGGCATTCAGCGAAAGCCTTCTTATTATGTTTGACCACAACCTGCCCGCTTCCCTCCTGGGTGAATTCGTTGATGAATCTATTGAAATCGTCTCTGGCGTAGCGGTGAATGAAATATCCATGTTGTCCCTTCAGGGTGCTGGTAGTCGTGGGTCACATCTGCATCTCCTTCATGTAAGAGAGAACGCGTTTCACGGGCGCTTGCCTTGGGATTATTCGGCAGCGCGTTTCGAACAGGGGGGGTGGCTCCCCCCAACAATCGGCGCCGTCGATCAAAACCAGGGGGGCTCCCCTCCCCTCCAAACCCCCGAAAACCCCCCACCTCCCGAAACCCCTTCCCCCCTCCCAAGAGGGGACGGGCGAGGGGGGTTTAGACCCATGCCTCCCCTCGGCGCCGGCGCCGGCGCTGGCGGCCGCCAGCAGCGCCCGCAGCAAACCGACGATGACCAAAGGCAGTCCAGGGGGGGGGCGGTTCAAACCCCCCCCCCCCTCCCAAAAGGGGGGGTTCAAAACCCCCCCTCCCCCCCCATCGGCGCCGGCGCTGGCGGCAGCCAGCAGCGCCGGCGCTGGAGCCAACGACGGCGGGGACGCAGCGACGATTACCACCGCTTCCACCACGACCACCACTACCATCACCACCGCCACCGCCTCAATCCACCACCGTCACCATCACAAAAAACAACACCACACAACCACCACCACCACAGCCACCACCACCACCACAACCACCACCGCAACTCACCATCACCGCCACCACCACCACAAAAACCCACCACCACTACCACCACCACCACAATGTACCACACCACCACCACCACCACCGCAACAACCACCACCGCCACCGCCACCGCCACCACCACCACAACAAATGTCTACAAACAACCACCACCACCGCCACCACCACCACCACAACAAACGTCAACAAACCACCGCCACCACCACAACCCACCACCACCATCACCACCACAAACCACCACCACACCACCACAACCACCACCACCACAACTCACCATCACCACCACCACAACCACAAAAAACCCACCACCACTACCACCACCAACGCAATCTACCACACCACCACCACCACCACCGCCACAACCACCACCACCACCAGCACAACCCACCACCCCCACCACAAACCACCACGCCACCACCACCACAAACCACCACCACACTACCACCAAACCACCACCACCACTATACCCACACCACCACCACCACCACCACCACAAACCACCAGCACACCACCACCCAAACCACCTAAACCACCACCCACCCACCACCCCACCACCACCACCACCGCCACCACCACCCACCACCACCACCACCACCACCACCCACCCACCCACCCACCCACCCACCCACCCACCCACCCACCCACCCACCCCCACCCACCCACCCACCCACCCACCCACCCACCCACCCACCCACCCACCACCACCCACCACCCACCCACCCACCCACCGCCACAACCGCCACCACCACAACAAACCACCGCACCGCCACCACAACCACCACCACCACCACAACAACCCACCACCACCACCACCACCACCGTCGTCCTCGTCGACGCTCCCCGCCACCGCCGCCCGCCGCCGCAGGCGCGGGCGCCGGCCAAGAAATTGAAATCGTCGTTCCCGCCGCCGTCGCCAGCCGCCGCCGACCGAAGCGCAGCGCTGGCCCAAGGAGAGGGGAAGCAAGGGAGGGGGGGGGGCTCGAAACCGCCCTCCCCCCCCTCTGTCACGCCCTCCAAACGACCACAGGACGCGCTCTTTCTCATGTGAGGACCTAGACGGGTATCACGACGTTTTCCATCCCAGGTGGGAGGTCGGTCGTTTGATATTTTTGGGGCCTCCGATTGTTGAGGAAATTGCCCCGTTTGGCGATCAGAAGATCTGGCAACTGCATCTTCCCATTACGTCGGAATGAACAACGTAGACTGTCCCCGCACAGGCGTGTTCAACCGAGCTGGCGCAGCCGGCGAACCACGGCCCCGCGCGTCCCAACTTGATGAGGAAGACTGCGAATTAGGCTGTGTCGCCGTCCAGGGCTGTGAGAACCAGCGAGCCCAATTTTGATCTGACCAGCCCACTTCGTCATCACCGTCCCAGGGAACGTCTTCTCGCCCTCCGCCTCCTGCCCAAAGATCCTGTCCTGGTTGTAGCCGAGGATCGTCCAGAAGTTCATCTTCGGGGGGCTGAACGTCGTCTGGGGGGTCCATGGCGGCGCTCGGCGCAAGAAGGTGGGAAGCGGGAGGAACAGGAGAATACTCGGACTCCCCTCGTGGATCGGAACCACAGGCTCCGCTACCACTGTGGAATGTACGGAGGTAACTGTATGGAATATAGAGAGACACGAAGTGCAAGTAGGGGGACCCGTGCTATAAGTCAGCACGTTAGCTTTTCTTTTACGGGGGTCAGGGCGCGCCCGTCGCCTGCGCGCCAGGTGACTCAAAGGCCCTTGAGAGCCACAACGGCGGCCCACAAGGGAGGTGGGACGGCAGCGAAAGGAGGGGAGGCCGACACACGCATGACAACACAGTGTCCCATGGTTTTCACAAAATTGGCATTCCCATTGCATGAGTCTGGCATCTGGCTACCTGCATTGGCGTCCGCTGTGGTCTTGCCTTCCACGGTCGAAATTGCCAGCGCAAGCTTTGCATCATCGTCCGCCTGTAAGTGGTTACGATGTTATGTGTACTTTGCCGCTGTTTGACGCCAAGCCTTACATCCCTAAAACAATGTGGCCGCGAAACGACGAAAAGGGAACCGACGGGACCGAGCAGGCATGAAGCCAACGAGGCGAGGGGCCAGACGGGGCGTATCCGACCGCGAAGCGAACGACCGACCACACAAGGACCCATACCTGGAGGGCCAACGCACTCACCAAGGGGAAACCAAATGGCCTGTATGATCGTTACGATTTGCAAAACCTGTCCTGCGAATGCTGTGACGGGCGGCGAGGGCGAACGCGAGGCGCACAGGTCGCACGACAAGGATATCACATAGCAGTCACCCTCCTTTAACTCATGATCCCTGGGCCCAGAAATCTCGTGTGCTGTGCCGGGGCCCCGCGCAACTTGTAATTTTGAATTTTGACTTTTCGGTTGCTGCGAACGATCACAAGCGTGCAGAGATGCAGGATGAGGAGGAGTAGGAGTAGGACAGACAGACACACCCACCCAAGAGGGAGCATGGAGAAGGACAAATCTAACCAGAATGCAGACAAACTGACCAGACTGACCAGACAGACCAGACGGACGAGACAGACCAGAACGGTACCATGCTGACTGACCGAAAAGACTGGGCGGACCCCCCAAAAAGCACGGAGGCCACCAGTGGCCCCGCCCGCCCCTGCCTGCGCGAAGCGCTTCGCACCTTGTCCCGCTTGATGACGCATATGTGCAGCAGCCCCTCCCCGTCGTAGGGGCCTCGCCTCTGAAACACAGCCTCCTTTCGGGGAACAACTGATGGCATAAACACAAGCCCTCGGATCGGCGCTGGGCCCCCTCCCTGGCGCGCCTCCGGCGCAAGGGGCGGCGCCAGAGGCGCCGCCAGCGAGGTCCCAGCGCCGATCCAAGAAATCCGCGCGGACCTCAGAAAAATGACGTTTGTCCTCGATCCTCGGCGTGTCTCGTCGCGTGAACGTCGTACACGCTGTTCAGGTACTCGACAGGCTGGGTGTCGACGAGCCACTGGAGGATGGCGGCCGCCTTGGCGCTCGTACCCCCCGCGCCGCCCGGTTCCCCGCCTCCCTCTGGGGCCAGCAGGGCGACCCAGTGCAGCAGCAGCTCGCCGACCAAGCCGCGCTGGTGCAGGAGCTGGGGTTCCGCCTCGACCTTCGCCTGACGACGACGGCCGCGACCGCGGCGACCACGACGACGGCGACGGCGGCGGCGAGGCGAGCCTTGACCGCTGCGAGGCACTCATCAGGTCGAAGAGCGTCATCGCCGAGGAACGAGGACCACCAGTCTTCTTCTCCTTGGCGAGCGACCGCTTGTTCGGCGACCGTGGCGCTTTGCTTCACCATCTCAAAAGAATCCTGGGGCACCGCGCAATCGGCTGAGATTAAACCGCAACGGCTACGGAGGAGGAGGAAGAAGAGGAGGACAAGGAGGAGGAGGAGGAAGAGGAGGAAGAAAGTAACCACCTCGAGAGCCAGAACACACAAGGTCGATCTTTACCGGCTTTCTCTTCGGCTATCATTCTCATGTAGACTTGTTTCTCGCTCTCGAGCCCAGCCTGGCGTTAGGTCCTCTCCGGGTCCAACCCCCAGAGCCAAGTCCTTACGAAGACCTTTCAAGACACCTCCCTCCTTGCAAAGCAGCCCCTGGAGGTAGCTCTGGCTGCCCTCAACAGGCCCACGTTCTTACTTCAAGGCTGTCTGCCAGGCGACGCCTCCAGCAATGCCCCCTGGAATACTCCGCACCCCAGCACTGGAGTGTCGACGACGCCCCGACTGTCCCGCGGGCCTGTTGAGGGCAGCTGGGACCACCTCGGGGGCCGTCTGTCTGTGGGCAGCCTCGGCCTTCCCAGCCCCTCCCCCTCCAAGCACTGGCTTAGACACACTCGTGGAGGTGCCCGAGGACCTGGGCGAGGTCTCCGAAAACGCCCGGAGACGATCGAAGACTCCCTTCTCCCTCCTGAGGGGGCCCAGGGACGCACCACAATAAATAGACACAAGTCCCATGATTCCCAATATTTTGAATCTCTTCTCGATATTCGTCTCCCCAGCCCACACTTTCCATATTTCCATCCTCTCCTCGGAATCGACTAGTATCAGTGTCTGTGTGCTTTTCTTCCTCTTGACCTCTCCACGTTCTATTCTTCCCACTGGGCTCTCCCGAGGCCTCCGCGAGCCTCTCGAGGACCCCCCAAAAGGTCCCTGCCCCGAGGACCACAGCAACAGGCCGAGAGCGTTTCACAAGAACTTCGTCCTCGATCCTCACCGCCCCTCCGGGCTGAGGCCCTTCCGCTTCATCTCGTCGAACAACTCCAACGCCCTCGGCAACTGCTGGCACTTCTCCCTCCCCCGCCGCGCCCTGTCCAGCAGCGCGCGCGGGATCTGGTCAGGGGGGAGAGGGGGAGAGAGACAGAGAGAGAGAGAGAGACAAGGATCGGGGTGTGTACCGAATCAGCTGGGGACTTGGGAGCACGACCCCACTCCCGAGGGAGAGTGAGAGAGAGAGAGAGAGAGAAAACAAAAACAAACAAGCAACAAAAAAGAGGGGAGGGATGTTTACACACATACGTGTATCAATCTACATACATACATGTAGGCATCGGTTCACTGGCATTTGCACATGCACACCTGCAGGCAGAAATACAGACATGTAGAGAAAGAGATAGAGAGAGAGAGAGAGACACAACAAAAGAGAAAGGAAGAGAGGGCAAGAGAGAGAGAGAGAGAGCAACACTAATATCACAACATCTACAGGGACTTGCACTGCGCTTGCATCGCCCCCCCTGCTTCCCCGCCCAGGAGAAGTACAGGGCAGAACCGCATATCTTCAGTTCGGCTTCGCCCAGCACGAGCAAAACGCGCGATGCATATTTTTGCCACGAGTCCCTCGAGCCATGGTATCGCTCTTCTGCCGGCAAGTCCCTACTTCTCGCTACCAAGAAGAATCGACATCAGACGTGAAGGAGATTTCTGCAACGCCCGCACAGGGGTCAGAGTTCGAACGGTGTCTGTAACCAACTGCAGCCCAGCAAGGAAATCCGACACTCCAGCGTCGATAGGACCCGCACGGGTACGGTTCGCAAATGGCTGCAAAGCATTGCCGCTGACGGTGCAGTGAGACTGGATCGTGGTTTCTCTTAAGAGACATTGGCGTGGGCCTCATTCGTCATTCTGCCTTTTGCCGTTTGCTGCCGCACCACTCCGCCGTTGCACTCGAAACCCCACGGGAGGTTGGTTGTGTCGATCCGATGAGGCATTGTTTGCGCTAAGATAAGGTTGGGTTGCTCATTGCTCGAGCTGCGCCTGGGTCGGAAAACCGCTCATTGAAACGTAGGGAAACTGCCGACACGAATCGGAGGGCAACGCCACCCGACCGGACAAACTGGGGCGAACGTGGCGCATGATGACGGGCGGCTGGTGAGGACCAGTGCTCCAACCAAATTTGCAAGTGCCCCTCCACTTTTCGGCGGCGTCCAAGAATGGGTTCGAAACTCATGGCCCGGGGAACGCATTGAAAGGCAACGAGGGGGCCATCAAATCCAAGCTGATATCATGGCCCCAGCCATGACATCCAACCCCCTAGGCCCTAATCAACACCCCCTTGTTGCCCACCCGAGCTTCCACTTCTTGGGCACATTGCCGGGCCTCCCTCCCCTCTCCACCCCACCAGACGCCGATGAGGGCGTTGTATGTGCAAACGTCCGGCGTCAGACCCTCCCGCTGCATCTCCTCGAACAAATCCGTGGCAAACTGGGACTGCTGGCCTGTCTGCAAGGGAAGGGGGGGCGCCGTTGTGATCCTTCTTCTCCTCCTTTCCTTGAAAGCGCTCCGATTTCGCCCAACAGTGGCCGTGGCGTCTGCGAGAAAAACACTGCAACACAGCATGCAACGATAGGAGCCGCAAAGTAATAGGAAGGCGGCAATAAAACACATAAGACTATAACCGTCCCGCGTTGCACGGAACGCCAACTGCAATCTCTACAAGCCCCCTGGTCGAACCTGGCGCCGGGGCACCTAACCTAACGCCGTCTCCTCCAGCAATGGACCAAGCGCTCTTGAACGCAACCAAGCGCCAATTGGCTAACCTGACGCCACCCAACCAGCACTCGCCAGGCACGTGCAGACGCAGCCCTGGATGTCAACTGCCTCGCGGACTCAGGCCGCGTCGGCACACGTGCGGGAGCTCCACTTCAAGTTTCAAGTTTCCATGCCCCAATCACTCACCAGAGCTGCGCATCACCACTGCTCCTGCGGCCACGGTGCCACCGGAGCACACGGGCAGCGGAACCGGCGTCAGGCTAGCTGCCCGGCGTCGAATTGGGGGGGTGCTTGTAGGCACTGCCTGCCTCCTCCTGTTCCTCCAACGCGTCCTGCCTATCCTGGTCCCCCTGCTTCTCCTGCCCTTTCCGATCCTGATCCTGTTCTGCCCCTGCTCCTACCCCTCCTCCAACAACTGCTGCTCTTCCACCCCCCCTCCTCCTCCTGTTCCCCCTCGCCCTCCTCCTTTCCCACCTCCTCCTCCAACCCCTTTGCCCCGAGAACCCATGAACCCCTGGAAACTCACAATAACGAACCAACTGCTTTCACCCCCCCCCCTTGCCCTCTCCTCATCTTCCCTACTCCTTCCCCCCAAACACGAGCTAGGCTACAACAGCAAAACATACACAGAAAAGGGCTATCCACTTCTTGCTCCTGCCACCTTCCGCACAACTGTGTAGCCACACTGGAGGAAGAACAACTGCGTGAACATGTTAGCCAGCTTGGACCCCAACCAGTAAGTTATTGCACTGTGAGTGTGTGAGCTATGTGGTGTAAGCATTGTGGTGCAAACCATGTGGTGTAAGTTCAGTACGTGGCGCGTAGTGCAAGACATGTGAAGCAAGCTGTGCAGTGTAAGTTATTATGTGCCGACTATGTGATGCAAGCTCTGTTGTTTAAGCTATGCTGTGGCGCGCCATCAAGGCGGCACCGTGCGGCAACGCGGCGATCCTCTGCGGACCCCCCAAGCGGCACCGAGGCGGCAATGGGCGGCGACGTGGCGAAGCCTTAGCGGACCCACCCCAACGGCGCCTGGGCGGCCTTGGGCGTCGACGTGGCGAAACCTTGCGGAACCCACCCAGCGCACGAGGCGGCCACGAGGCAGCCACGAGGCGGCACCGTGGCGAGACCTCGCTGGACCCACCATGTGCACGAGGCGTCCACGAGGCGGCCACGAACAGCAACGTGTCAAAACCTCGCCAGACACACCCAGCCAATTGGTCGTACGGTGTAAATTCTTGCACGGTGGATGTGTGAGCTATGTCGCGCAAAACATGTGTTGTAAGCCATGTGGTGCAATCTACGTGGTGCAAGCTACGCGGTGCAAGGTGTGTGCTGCAAGCCTGGAGGTGCAACCTGTGCAGTGCAAGTTCGGTGGGGCACATCGTGCGGTGTAAACTGTGCAGGGCAATGTCTGTGGTGCAAGCTGCGTTGGGCGGGCACGGGTGGCCACGGGGCGGCCACAAAGCAACCTCGGGGGGCCACGGGACGACCACCCCCAAAATCCTCGGGTTACCCACCCGTTTTTTGGTGTAAAACCAAAAGGAGCCCGTAAGTGCAAGCACTGTCTGGGGAATCGACTTTCGGAGTTCTGCGCGGATTTCTTGGATCGGCGCTGGAAACCCCCTCTCAGGCGCGCGGAGTGCGCCAAGCGCCGATCCAAGAACTCTGGCTCCGAAAGTTTATGTTTATGTTGCTCTTTCTTCTTCGACGCCCTGCCCTCTCCTCCCGAAGTTCCCCCCCCCCAGGGCGCAAACGCGTCGGAGTCTCCTCAGGCTCTCCCCATCGCCCCCTCTCCCTCTGGACCCCCCCAAAGCCTTCCGCGAGGCCATGCTTTCATGCCGAAAACACTTTGCGTGCAGGTGGTTTGGCGCATTACTTTTTCCAGCCTCCATCTGCCGTTTGGGGGGAGACTTCCCTCTGCCCCTGCCCCCTCTCCCTGCGAGCGGTCATCCAAGATAGTCCCATGTAGCCCAAGGTAGCCTCCGAGATCGCACAAGATAATGCAATCTTGCTCAATATGTCCTCCAACATGCCCCCCCAAACACCCGCGACGGGTCTAATTGGCCACGGAGCGTCTCCGGGACCCCACCGAGATGCCAAAGTGCTCCCCTGAGAGAGGGACAATCAGTGATGTGTGATCTCTCGCCTTCAGGGCAAATCGCCTGCTGAATGTTTTTGGACGGAATTGTGAGGATACGCGAACCGTAAAGATTTGTTTGATTGACGGTCCTGTGGCCAAGAAAGGCCCCGGAGACTAACTTTGTCGAGAAGTCTCGGAACACATGGCATCTGTCCACCAAGGGGAACTGTACGTCTAATGTTGCAGGGTAAAGCAAAGAGCGCGCACGGGATGTTCAACTTCATGGACACCATCAAGTGTACACCTCCTGGCCTTGACATCCCTGCGCTCGCGTGGAGGACCTCCGCGAATATGGCCATGTCTTTGTTTGCCTGTCTAGGATCCTGAGAACGTGTGTTAGCGCCGACGTGTTTATCAACCGGAGCCCTTCAGCACGACGCAGGTGGTTCAAGGAGGGCTGACACAGGCTGCGTGCTGCCCGTGGAGCTGAACGGGTACACGTACAGTGGGCTAACGCACGTCCTGGGGATCTTCCAGCCGTGGAGGCGGCCGAGGGGTCTGCACTGTAAGGCACCGCAGAAAATCCGTCAAGACGGGAGGGTAAGGGCAAATCCGCTCAACATCGGTCCCCTGACACCTCCCAAAGTCCATCTGGTGCACTTTTTCACGGCGGATCCGTTTTTGACGGTCCCGGGGCCCGAAAGACGGCCCCAGGAGACCGAACAAAGCAAAGACGCCTTCTCGAACCCAGAACCTGGAACTTCGCCCCCTCCTGCTGGACGGAGCCAGTGCTGGGCCAGCTCAGACCTCCAACTCTAAATCGAGCCTAGACGATTCCCCTCAGAACCCGTCCCCGGACCCTTCCTGGAGTCTATCCTGGCTGGCTTTTTCGTGCCTCGTCTGGCCGCCCACCTCTCGGCACGCCCCACCTCCCCGACGACGACGACGACGACGACGACGACGACGACGACGACGACGACGACGACGACGACGACGTTTTGATGGCACTCAACTTCTGCTGCCCATCATTGGGCAGGGATTGGCAGTGCGCACAAGGGGGCGGCGCGGGGGAGGGGGGGCCCTCTGCGAAGGTGGGCTTCTTAGAAGGCACCCCCAGCCCCCCCCTGTGCGCCGCCCCCTGTGCGCGCACCGCCGCAGGCAGCGGGGGCGGGCGTACCCTTCTGGCAGGTGCTGATGACGGCCGCGTAGGCCGTGGGGTCGGCGGGCAGGCCCAGGTCCCTGGTGGAGCGCAACAGCCGCCTGGCCTCCGGGGGGGGGGGCACTCTCCACCACCAACACCAGAGGTAGGAGGAGGAGGAGGAGGAGGAGGAGGAGGAGGAGGAGGAGGAGGAGGAGGAGGAGGAGGAGGAGGAGGAGGAGGAGGAGGAGGAGGAGGAGGAGGAGAGGAGGAGGAGGAGGAGGAGGAGCAGGAGGAGGAGGAGGAGGAGGAGGAGGAGGAGCAGGAGGAGGAGGAGGAGGAGGAGGAGGAGGAGGAGGAGGAGGAGGAGGAGGAGGAGGAGGAGGAGGAGGAGGAGGGAGGAGTGGGTGGGCGCAGCTTCCACGGTGACCCTGGCCCCCATGAGCAGGCTCACGGGGTCCAGGGCGCCAGAAGTCGGGGGGACGGGGCTGTCAACCTATACACCGCCCGGTACACACGGGCCGCGCGCCGCGCGCGCCTACTCCGGCGACGCCAATGGCATGTCCGCCCCCTCCGCGCCACCGCCAGCCCCCATGGGTGGGCAGCGGGGAACCCCTGGTGCGGCGGTGGCCCCGCGGGGCGCCGCACTGGCGGCACTTCCCCGCCCTCTCGGCGCCGCCTGCCACGAGCCGTGCAGCGAAGGCGGGGCGGCGGCGCTTAGGGCCGCGGCACGGCGGGGTCTTGCGGGAAAACCGCCGCCCGCGCGTCGGCGGCGCCGGTGTGGCGCGTCCGCTGGTACCCCTTTCCCTGCGGTGTGCCGAGACTGGTGCTGGTGGTCCGCGCTCCCGCCGCTTGCGCACCCCGCTGAGTCGGTGCTCCCCGGACTGCTGGCATCGGCCATCCCCGCGTCTGGGGCAGCAGCCGGGGGACGGCGATACCCTGGGTCAGAGATGCCCCCGCCAGGGCCCCAGCGCACTCCACTAACCGACTGGGCGGCATGCGCGTCGCAGGTCGGGCGAGGCCGAGCCTCGCGGTGCTCGGTCGGGTGGTGCTTGTCCGCGTGCCAGCTGCTAGCACACCCCGTCCAATTGGTGCTCCTCGCCCCGCTGGCATCGGCCACCCCCGCGTCTGGGGCTGCGGTCGAGGGGCGGAGATACCCTGGTACAGAGTTGCCCCCGTCGGGGTCCCAGCGCACTCCTCTATTCAACTGGGCGACATGCGCGCCGCAGGACGGGCGTGGCGTGGCCTCGTGGCCGTCGGTCGATTGGTGCTGCTGGTGGTGGTCCTCCGGCGGGCCCTGGCCCCTGGCCTGTGATCCGCCTCCTGGCCGCGCTTAAGAGGTCGGCGATCTTGGCGATCTTCTGGCCGAAGGTGCGCTCGTCTGCCCCCGAGGCCGCGGGGCCTCCCGCCAAGCGGCGGCGGGGCGATGTCGGTGCAGCGCGCTGCCGGTGGGTCTGGTTAGGGTCCAGCTCGGCTGGGTGGCTCGCCGCGCAGTGCTCCATGACCGCACCCGAGAGCGGGGGCGTGTAGTCGGGCAGCCAGAGGCGAGACCCGAGGGGACCGCCTGTCGCCTGCACGGTGGCCTCAGTCAGGCCATCACGGGTCGGCGTCGTCTGACACGGCTGGCTTCGGCGCCGCTGGCCCACCAGCGGCGCCCGAACCGCCGCCGGGGGCTCGCCAGGGCGCTGGGAGCGCCCTGGGGCCCCACGATCACAAACCGGCTGTTTGTGATCGTGAGCCTCCAGGGCCTTGCCGGGCCCGCCCGGACCGCCCGCTGGGGGCGCGCGGGGCGGCCGCCTCGCCGCCTCTGCTGCCCGGGGCAGGCCGCCGGGGCCGCCGCGCGGGCTGTTCCGCCACCTTCGTCGACTGCTGGGGCCGCCGGGGCCTCCGCCGGGGCCGCGCTGGCGGCCGCGGCCCCTCCAGTGGCCGCCGTGGCCGCCGCAATGGCCTTCCCCCCTCGCCCCGCTGCGGGGCCCGAGGGCGCGCGCCGCATCCGCCGAGCAGTCGGCTGGGGCCCGCCTGGCTCCCGAGCCTGCTTGCGGGAACGGGGCTGGGCCGCCTGGAGCGCCTGGCCATGGGGGATGCCGACGACCGCCTCGAGCTGGTGCTCCGCGGTGCCAGCCACAGAGAGGTTCTCGGGGGTCGCGGGGTCCGCGGGGGCCAGTCCGCCGCTCACCGCGTGGGCGATCGTGGCGGACATGGCCTTGGCCTCGATGACGGGCTTGGGCGGCCCCTGTTGCGACGGGTAGACGCCCTTGACGATCCTCCTGAGGGCCTCGTCCGTCTCGCGAGTGGTCTCGCTCTTGCACTCGTCTTGCAGCCCCATGCCCATCGTGGTGCCGTGAGCCCCGTAGTCGCCGCAGAAGAAGAGGCTGTGGGTTGGCCACTCGTAGAGGCGGTGGGAGGCGTGGACCACGCCCGTCCCCACGGCGATCTGCATGCCGGCAGGGACTTCGCGGACGTGGTCGAACGAGGCCCAGTCCGCTTCCGTGGCGGCGCAAGCGGAAGCAGCCGCCTCGCGAAGCGAGGCCGCGGGGAAAAGCTGCCGGCACAGCAGGCACTTGCACTTGCCCTGGCCCAAGGTGACGAGCTGGTGCGGCGAGTCGTCGATTGTGCTTGGCGACTTTAATGCCAGGCTGCACCGACGTTTCCCTAACGAGGAGAAGATCATTGGGCCGTACATGTTTGGCAACCCAGGGGCGGCATACAATGCTGCCTCAAACAGGAGTCTTCTGGCAGAGCTGTGCACGAAAGCGAAGTTGGCAATCGGCAGCACCTTTTTCGACATGCCGGTGGAGCACCAAGTCACGTGTTACGACATCGGGAAGTCACCAGGCGACCCTGTAAATCATGATAGCTTCGGACAGATTGATTTGGCGCTGATGTCCCAAGTTTGGTTGTTTCTGCTTCGACGCGTTCGCAGCGACCGTTCATGTGCAAAGGCCTTAGACCACTTCCTCGTCTACGCGGACCTCGACATGAAGGTGCCGAAGGAGAACGGCCACAGCGGCCCCCAGCCGCTCGATCTGCAGTCTGTTCGAACACCTGGAGTGGCAGCTCGGCTTGCAGCGGCTTTCTTAGATCATCTGGACGGGCTGGACGCGACGACGGCAACGGTGGACGACATCGGCCAGAGCATGTCGAAGGCATTCCACGCGGCAGCCGCCGATACATTGCCAGTGCTTCGGGCGAAGCCGCTCCACCGTGGATTTCGAGCCGAACGCTGCGTATTATTGACGACCGGGCTGCGGCGAGAAGGCAAGGCGACGCGGCGTCTGAGAGAAATGCTTCACCGCAAGGTCAAAGACTCAGTGGCAATCGGCAAGAACGAGTGGCTCAACGGCATGCTGGCCTCAGGAGATTGGACAGAAGTGCGACGTCTTCGGAGGGGCCGCCCTCGTAGGCAAGGCCGGTTGCGCGATTCAGCTGGTTGCGTCGTGGACTCCAGCGACCGCGCGGAGACTATGGCTGACTACTCCGAAAAGGTGCAGTGGGCTGTGAGGAACAGTACAGCAGTGGATACTACATCGCTGGGGCCAGACCTCTTAGTCGACCTTGGACCTGTCACGGACGAGGAAGTGAGCTCCGCGGCCTGGAAAATGAAATGGGGCAAAGCATGCGGGTCCGACGGCGTCCCTGGAGACCTTTGCAGAGCGGTCTGCACGCGCGGTTCGCCCGCGCGCAAGTGGGCAACTGTTCTCTGCCAGACGTGCTGGGCCGATGGGGTTGTGCCAGAGACGTGGCACGAGTCTCTAGTCACAGCTATCTTCAATGCGAAGAGTCCAAATGCGAGAATTACCGGCCATTCTGCTTGCTTCAAGCGGGCTACAAGCTCTATGCGTCTATTCTGTTGCAAAGGCTGAAGCAAGCAGGCGCAGAAGACCGCATCTGGCACACTCAGTTCGGCTTCAAATCAAAGCACGGCACGGCAGACGCCATCTTCCTGGCTCGCCGGCGCATCGAGGAGACCTGGGAGGCACGGATGGGCAGACCGTGCTCTTGGCTTTGCATTGGGCGAAGGCTTTTGACAGCGTGGCGCCGGACGCTTTCCTGCAGGCGCTCGGGCGTTTCGGCCTGCCACGGCCTATGCTGGCAGCCATCGAGGCGATCCACTCCAACATGCGGTTCGCAGTCAGGGAGGCCGGCGCCACCTCAGGCTCACGGCCGCAGCGCGCTGGCATTTGCCAGGGGTGCCCTCTCTCGCCCTTCCTATTCGCCATGGTCATGGCAGTACTGATATCGAACGTAAGGGCCGCGATTGGCCATGGCGCGGCAGAAGTGGAGGAGCTCATCTACGCGGACGACACGCTCATCCTGGCTGCGTCTGCGGACCGCGCAGCCGTGTACATGCAGGCAACAGAGAAGGCCGGGGCGAAGTACGGGCTCAAATGCAATTGGAAGAAATTGGAGGCCCTTCCGGTCAGGTGCGCAGCCAACACACTGCAGCCCGACGGGAAGCCCGTCGCCCAGAAAGACAGCCTTGTGTACCTCGGAGCCGTGCTCTCTGCGGACGGCGGCATGCAAGCCGAGCTGAGCAGACGCATCGGCGCGGCAGGGGCGGAATTCGAGACCCTGGCGCGCATGTGGTCCCACGCTGTGATATCTGTGCCCCGGAAGCTTCGCATATTTGAGGCGTGCGTCCTTAGCAAGTTGCTGTGCAGCATACACACGGCTTGGCTGAGAAGCGCCCAACGAGCCCGTCTTGACGGATTCCAAGCCCGGTGCGTCCGGAATATCCTGGGCATAGAGCACTCGTACATCAGCCGCGTCTCCAACGCAGATGTTCTCGAACAGGCACGGTGCGTAAAATTGAGCAGCCTTTTGGTGCAGCGGCAGCTTGTTCTTTTTGCTGAAATTGCACGCAGAAGCAACGACCACCCAATTCGCCAGGCAATTTTTCAACCATTTTCCGTTATCCCGAACCCCCCTCTCCAGTTGCGGAGGAGAGGCAGACCGCGTTGTGCATGGACCAGAAAAATTTTCAAGCACGCCTTAGCCACCTCCAATCAGAGCGGGTTGCACTGGAGTGGCATACTAGAGATCAAACCAGAACTTTGGAAGGGTGCTGCTCGAGAGTACAGCCGCTCGCAGTAGCAGACCATATTTTACTTATGTGCGCGTACGCGGCTCCTAATGATAATAATACTACGAGTAATAAAATCAATAATAATGCCAATGGTGATAGTAAAAACACTAATACTAATAATGATAATCTATATCGGGCCACGAAGTGCGTGAGGGGTGTGCCGACATGGACATGCGGTGGGCGGGGAGCCGCATGCGAACCCTCCCACTGGGGCCTTCGGTGGAACTTCTATGGGGCAACGAAACGTGTGAGAGGTGTTCTGAAATGGACATGCGGTGAGCGGGGAGCCGCATGTGACCCCTGCCACTGGGGCCTTCGGAGGAGCTCCCTATGGGGCCACGAAACGTGTGAGGGTGTGCGACATGTGAATACTGCCGCTGGGGCCTTTGGTGGAGCTCCCTGTGGGGCCACGAAACGTGTGAGGGGTGTGCTGAAAGGACATGCGGTGGGCGGGGAGCCGCATGTGACCCGTGCCACTGGGGCCTTCGGTGGAACTTCTATGGGGCAACGAAACGTATGAGGGGTGTGCCGAAATGGACATGCGGTGAGCGGGGAGCCGCATGTGATCCCTGCCACTGGGGCCTTCGGAGGAGCTCCCTATGGAGCCACGAAACGTGTGAAGGATGCGCTGAAATAGACATGCGGTGGGCGTGGAACCGCATGTGAACCCTCTCACTGGGGACGTCGGTGGAGATCCCTATGGGGCTACGAAACGTGTTAAGGGTGTGCCGAGAAGGACATGCGATGGGCAGGGAACCGCATGCGAACCCTCCCACTGGGGCCTTCGGTGTAGCTCCCTATGAGACCACGAAGCGCGCGAGGGGTGCGCTGAAACGGACATGCGGTGGGCTTGCAGCCGCATGTGACCCCTGCCACTGGGACATTCAATGGAACTCCCGATGGAGCCACGAACACGTGTGAGGGGTGTGCCGACACGGACATGCGGCGGGCGGAGAGGTGCATGCGAACCCTGTCACTTTGGCCTTCAATGGGGCTCCCTGTGGGGCCACGAAACGTGTGATGGGGTGTGCCGCAATGGGCACGCGTAGGCAGAGGCAGGGATTGGAGGTCAGGAAGGGGCCAGACGCGGGGAGCTATCTGTTCAAAACGCGGACCCGACACCAGAGGATGTCAAGACAAATGGACGAAAAACCATGCTCGGCCTTGCAGATGACCTCGCCGGGCCCCAGGACCGTCAAGAAACGGCTGGGGATGAAGAGCTGGCCCCTGGGAAAGCGGGCTGACCAACGTCGGAAGCCTGGGATAACGACGACCCGTGGACCCGTCCTGGGAGCCCCAACACCCAACCTGGGGCGCGCCCTGACCAGCATCTCGAGGGGCATCTGGCCGTGGCCACAAGGACGCCCCCAATTGACTGCCCTGCAGGCCACCCCAACTCAGTCCGAAATCGCCGCTGGGCCCACCAATTTCCCGCTGGGGGGCGGTCTGAAACATCGAGGAAGCACAGTGAAACACGCACGCCCCCCGACTCGAAATTGGGGGGGGGGTCTGGGACCTCCGGGTTGGATTGGGGTGGTTTGGGAACTAGCGACCAAAGGGCCAAACGTGAGCCAACGCTCCAGAAGCCTCGACCCTCGGACCTCTTGGGCATGGGTCGCACGACCCCCCCCCCGGCTTCAGCATGCTCGCGCCCCCGCTGCCCGGCGTGCTGCCTGCCCTCCCCTTGCCGCTCTCAGCGGAACGCAAAAGAAGCCCTGGGCAAGAGCGACCTCTGGTACGGAGTACGAAGGGGAGGAGGAGGAGGAGGAGGAGAAGGAGGAGGAGGAGGAGGAGGAGGAGGAGGAGGAGGAGGAGGAGGAGGAGGAGGAGGGGAGGAGGGAGGAGGAGGAGAGGAGGGAGGAGGAGGAGGAGGAGGAGGAGGAGGAGAAGGAGGAGGAGCGAGGAGGAGCAAGGAGGAGGAGCGAGGAGGAGGAGAGCGAGGAGGAGGAGCGAGGAGGAGGAGGAGGAGGAGGAGGAGGAGGAGGAGGAGGAGGAGGAGGAGCGAGGAGGAGGAGGAGGGAGGAGGAGCGAGGAGGAGAAGGAGGAGGAGGAGAGGAGGAGGAGGAGGAGGAGGAGGAGGAGGAGGGAGGAGGAGGAGGAGGAGGAGGAGGAGGAGGAGGAGGGAGGAGGAGGAGGAGGAGGAGGAGGAGGAGGAGCGAGGAGGAGCGAGGAGGAGGAGGAGCGAGGAGGAGGAGGAGGAACGAGGAGGAGGAGCGAGGAGGAGCAGCGAGGATAAACGAGGAGCGAGGAGGAGGAGGAAGAGGAGCGAGGAGGAGGAGGGGCAGGAGGGGGTCAAGACATAACGCAAAAGCCGCTGCTATCGAAACTCGTTCAGCGATCGGGGAGCCCCCGTGGGCCCGCACCAGAGGTCACTCGAGCGAAGGGCGAAGGGTCACTCTCACGCGTAGTCGACATTCACCCAGCTCGCAGGAAGCACCTGGCACACATCAGAATCTCAGTCCTCGAGCCTCGACGGGCGACGGCGGCGGAGGAAAGATAACGGCGCTCACGCGCTCCTGCTCGGGCTGGTCGGATTCCGGGGCGGCCCAGACGAGCGCGGTGTAGGTGACGAAGTCCTGGCACGGCTCGTCGACGTCGTCGTCGACGGCGTTGTCGTTACCGTCCTCCTCCTCTTCCCTTGAGAAATTAAATTGTGTTTGGACCTCATTGGCCTCCACGACTCAAGGCTGCCTCAGACGAGCGCGGTGTAACTGAGAAGCCGGGGGGTACGGCTCGTCGTCGACGTCTGCGGAGTCGTCGTCGCCGCCCTCCTCCTTCTGCTCCTCGATATCTTGTTTTTGTGTGCTGGCCCTCCTCGGGCATCCGATGGACACCCAGGGACAGATGGACACCTCCGGAGACCGTTCGGGACCTCCAGAGAGGGCTGAACCATCATTAAAGCTCGAACGGATCCTGACGGCTTCTTTGCAGGATTACCAGCCCTCCTGGCTGGGCCCTGGGGGCCGTAAAGACACTGTTCAGGATGAGAAACTGTCCCCGCGAAGGGGTCGAGGGGTGCGTGTTGAATCTGTAGGCTTCCAAGGTGTATATACAAGGAGGAGAAAGAAAGAGAGAGAGAGAGAGAGGGAGAGAGAGACATATCATCGCCGGGCGCAATATTCCCAGGATGATTCATCCTGAGCCCACTGTGCTGCTAGCAGGTCCCATGGCGGCCAGCCGCACGGATGGGCCTTCGCGAAGCCTGCGGGCTTCCCCTTGGGCATCGCGAGCCCCGGCTGAACCACCGCTGCTCGAACAAAGACGACTTACAGAGAGAAACCAGGAAAAAAACACGTACCATCTATCCCGCCACGCAGCCCACGCATTGTGGCCTGATTAGAAGGGCGAACCACTACATGACCATAAACTTTCGAAAGTTCGCGCGGGTTTCTTGGATCGGCGTTGGCCTCCCTCCCTGGCGCGCGGGGCGCGCCAGGGGCGGCGCCGGATGCGCCGTCATGGGAGGCAACACGGGCGCGTCGAATCCTCTTCCTCCTCGGTCACCGAAAGGGCCGTCGGCGAGTCCGTGCAGGCCGAGGTCTTTGCTGGAACCATGACCACCGTCGTCGTCATGTCGCCCTCGTCGTTTTCGTCGTCGTCGCCGACTCTTCGTCATGTTGCCGCAGGCTTCGTGCGGAGTGAATATAACAATCCTGGAATGTTTGCCAGCGCGGGCCCCGAACACTAGGCTGTAACACCATGATGTGTAACATATGCGTTGCAAGCTGTTTCGTGCGCCCTGTGTCTGATGCAATCGTTCTGTTGCAAGTTATGTGGCGCATGCGTTGTGGTGAAAATTATGTGGCGCCGTTGATTTTAGCAAATGAATTGACACACCCCTTGCTCCTGCAAACATCCCACCCACCCACCCGCAAGTTGGTTTGTAAAACCAATGCGGTGGCGATTACGATGCGACGTTGGCGTTCGTTGGTGCATCTCTGCGGCCGCGACAACCCCAACACGCGCGCGCAACGGCCAGCTAGTTTGGCGCCGCCGACGCGGCCGGGGTGGCGCTGACCGCTGGGCACATCCCAGCGGGCACTTCACTGCGAGTCGGCGGCTTGGGCGGGCGCGGTATCATGGCAACGTCGACAACGGTAGACACGATGATGATAGTAGCAATGCTGGTGACGATGTTGACACCGACGAAGGCGCGGCCAGTGCGGGCGCCGATGCTGATCACGTCGACGGCGATGACGGCGTCCTCGCGTCGATGATGAAGGTTTTGGGAAGAATTCGACATGCACGCGCGTGCACGCGCGGCCGACTCGCGAGAATGGCCCGTATGGTTTTATTTGACACGGATCGTGCCCCCCCAGCACGCGCACAAGGGCGCGCGAATGATGTCGGCATGCGGCGCGAGAGGCCCGTTTGGCAGAATCCCATGAACATGCTTAACAAAACCCATGCATTTCTTAAGAATGCGCAAAAGCGCGAGCGCACGTTTCTCTCTCTCTCTCTCTCTCCTTTTTTTGTCTCTCTTTCTCTCTCTGTCTCAAAAAAAGGAACGGATGTTGCGACGCCATGTGTTTTAGTTTGTGTGTTTGACATCTGGTTTTGCAATCGTTGCGAAATCGCCAAATTTTGACAGATTTCGGCATGCACGCGCGACGACGCGCGCGCGCGTACTTCGTCCCATTTTTTGCGAAAAGGATCCTCGCGACGGCACGCGCGCAAAGGCGCCCGAACGATTTCGACATGCGCGCGCGAAGCCCGTTTGGTAGCATGTTCTGAAAACGTTGAAAAACCTAGGGCTTCCTTAAGAACTCGAAACAACGCGCGCACGCTTATTTTGTGAACATCCGTCTTGTGAAACCATGTGTTTTGAATATGATGTTTGGACGCTCGATTTTGAATTCGTCACGAAACCGAACGTTTTTGAAGGACTTCAGCATGCGCGCGACGACGCGCGCGTGTGCACTTCGTCTCATCTGTTGCAAGGCGTTCTCGAACACTTATGATTTGTGATAAACGACTGCGCGCGCAAAGTATGTTTTTGCAGAGGATGACGGGGGGGTCGATACTGGCCTGCCTGGGATGATATGAACTCAAATGTTGGATGGTCGATGTGTCAGAATCGCATGTAAATTGCAATACGAAAAGGGGGTCCATAATCCTGGGGGAGGGGTAGAATCTATATATTTTCTCTTAGAAAGGGGAATCAATGTGGTACAGGCTGCGTGGTGCGAGCTACGTGGTGTGAACTACGTGGCGAAAGCTGCGTGATACAAGCAATGTGATGCAATGGATGTAGTGCCATGTCTGATTTAACGACTGTGTGTGAGGAAGGCTACGTGTTACGATCTATGTGGGGCGAGCTACGTGGTGCAAGCTACGCGGTGTAAACAACGTATTGCGAGCTATGTGATGCACTCAGCGCGCGGGGCGCCCACGAGGCGCCCACGCGCGGGGACCAAACGAAGCACCGCCACACCCACCCAATGCACGGAAGCGACCAAAAAACGCCCACTGGCGGCCACCAGCCGGGCACCGGTTCAAAGAATCCTGCTCCCGCCTCGGCCTCCAAGGGCCGGCTTCGGGCCCTGAAAACTGCCCACCAAGGGAATGGGATTTGAAACATCTGGGTTTGGGTGTTTCTAGAAGTGGTCCCGGCGTTGCCAGCTGTTCGCGCCAGGTTGGTGCCTCTGGACCCGTCTGGGCCTCGTGAGGAGTGCTTCGGAAGCCATCTGCGGGGGACACAGTGCATCTGCGCCTCCCTGGGAAAACTGGGGCCACATTGGGCCAGAGTCAAGTAATTCTACCAGCACCCGATTGGAGCCCGCGGCCTGAATCAACAAAAAACCGTAGGAAGACTGGGGCGTCGTCGTCGTCGTCGTCGTCGTAGTCGTCGCCAACGTGGCCCCCATTCTGGGTAACTCAGGCGCCAGGGACGGTCCGGCTTCAACCCCTGCTTCCGCATCGCCAGGCACAGCTCCATGGCCTTCTCGGGGGCCTGCGCCCGCATGCACGCGCTGACGAGGGCGGTGTACGTGATCACCTCGCCGGGCCCGGCTTCCCCTCTTGCTCTCCTTTGGTGGCGGCCCAGGGCGGCCTTCTGAGAAGCACGGCTGGCTTCGTACAAGGCCAGGGGGCTTCGTGGAGGCTTCTCAAAGGCCTCTTTGGAAGCCTCCTGTGGGTCCTGCTAATGGGCCCCCCCCTTCGGAGAAGCCCCTCGCCCTCGCGGAAGCCCCCCCCCCGCGCCGCCCCCTCGTGCGCGTCGGCTGGTCAGGCTCCTCCGCCCGCTGCCTCCTCTGGCGGCGCGCACAAGAGGGTGCGCGAGGGGGGCCGCCTTCTCGGAAACCATCTCGGCTTCTCAGAAACCTCCCCGGGATCCTTCTAAGAAGGCCACTCCCTGCTAAGAAGCCACCAGCCCTCTTAGAAAGCCACCCCGTTCGCGTCGCCCCCTCGTGCGCGCCGTCGACTCTTCCCTCCCTGCCCCCGTAGTCCTTCCATCCTTACTGCTCCTTCTGTCACCCGTGCTCACTCCCCTGATCCCTCCTTCTCCCTCCTGCTTCCTGATCGGACAGAAACAATATGGAATACCATCCAACATAAATAAATCGGGAATCTCTGAAAGCCACTGGCCCGGGAGGACACGCAAGGTACCGCAACCATTCTGGAGCGCATCCGCCTCTGAGCGCTCAGAATGGACAATGTATCACGTATCCTTGTCCCAGACCTTCCGTATGGATGCCCGTGGAATATGGCCAGAAAACATAGGGTCAGGATCGCACCGCATTGCAGATGCACTGGCGATGCGGCACAATCCTACGACCTGTTAAAAGTCGCGCCCTTTGCTAATTCCTGCGGGTCCCTTCTGAAACGTCAGGTCTTCGAAACTACTGCGCTGGATAGCCCCGAAACGATCTCAAGCAATTCAGGCTCAACTTGTTTGGGCTTGCCTCTGGGCCTTCGCGAGGCGCTTGAGGTCTAGCCTCCCTACGGGAGGTGGCTGACACAGAGGCAATCTCCAGAACACATTTCAGAAGTGTCCAGCAGCGGCCATGGCAAACCACTACTGGGATCATCCTTGGCGCAGTTGCAAGGCTACTGGGACTCACGAGCACCGGTGGCGGTGTGGGTCCTGCGGCTGTGCGAAGGACCTCGCCAGGTCCTGGTTCTGCAGGCAATGCGGCGGACTCCGTTCTGACGTTATGGTTTCCCCCCGCGCTGCAGGTGAGGCCGAGGCTCTGCCTGCTGGGCCGCCTCTCCCTGTGGGCCCTCAGGGTGGCAACGAGGGTGCAGGCAGGGCACCTGCAAACTACGGCAAGGACGACTCCCTCTCTGACGCCGAGCTTGGCCGGCTCGTGGAGCTCGACCGCAAAATGGGGAATGAGGCCCAAGCTGCTGCTCTGCAAGGGCATCTCGACAAGCGACGCCAACAGGGCCAGACAGCTCCCCGGCAATTTCAAGTGAATGCCAGCGATCGCCAGATCAAGTCACTGGAAAAGAAGCTACGTCACCAGGACCTCAACGTCTGTCATCTCCTGCTCCGTTATCTTCAACGGCTGGAGGTAAGCGAGCCCGCCGACGGAACAGTGGCCAATTGAACTGTGTTCTCACAATTGGTCGCCATCATTGCAAACGGTAGGTGCGGTCACGGAGGGATCCTCTTGTGCGGCGACCATACCCGCATTCTTCTTTGCCGCGTAAAACCAAAGCTGGCCTCGGTCTCGGTGATAGGGAAACCCCGTGACCGTCTTGGATATATGTCAAAGGAGACCTTGCCAGGTCCACGTGCTCCTTCAGCGTAAAGACGGCAAATGCAGACCCCTGAACTGCATCCATCCATTTCTCACAGGCGGGCAGAATTATCTTTTTTTTCGTTTATCAACAAGCTCTATATTGCCTTTCGTTCGCTTAAATCAACCACGCGATGTGGCTCCCTGCCTGCAGGCAAGCTTTCCATGCCTCATCATTCCCGCATGCTTTTTCGCGAAGCTTCGTGGTGACGTGTAGCTCTTCCGAGGACTGTCCATGTGAACGACTCACTCGCTGCTGCTATTCCTCCCTCCTGAACGCATCCTTCTCCTCATCCTCCTCGTCCTCGCCACGCCCTGCCCCTCGTCCTCCTCCGCCTACTGATCACCATGAGCAAAACTGCCACGGTAACTATTCCGTTATTCCTCATCCTTGTCCTCCTCCCTCTTCCTTCTTGCTGTCCTGCTCCTGCATCGCCTTAAAGCTGGCTGCTGTCACGTTCCTCCTCCTCCCCCTCCTCCCTCTCCTCCCTGCCCCTTCTCTCTCGTTCCCCTCCTCCTCGTCCTCCTCCTCCTCCTCGTCCTCCTCATCCTCGTCCTCCTCCTCCTCCCCATGCTTTTCATCTTGTCTTCGTCTTAAACTTGCCCCTCCACACATTCGTCGTCAACACCACTCTACTTGGCCGCTAAGGGATGGACATTCGGAGTGATGCCCCGACCCTGCATCGACGTGAAAAGCTCAAGCGCGGGAGTGAGCTCCTGTGGATGGAAACGGATGGGAAGGAGGAGGGTAACGCAGATGGGAGGGCCAGGACGAAGTGGAGAGAAAGAGAGAGAGAGAGGAATAACAAAAAGAGGATGATGATGCGCCCACAAACAGCTGCCGACCAAGCGCCCGCAGGCGGTCACAGCCACTGGCAGGCGCCCACAGGCGGCCACCAGCGCGCACAGGCGCCAGCCGAGGCGCTCGCAGCTGACTGCCAGACGCTCACACCAACCCACAGCTGCTCAGAGCCCTCGGGCAGCGAAGCGGACACAGGCGCCCAGCGCTTGCACAACCTCAAATCCCAGACTCCCGACGTTGTATGTGTGTGTTTCTGTCTCAGAACGTCGACCCCAGAGGTCTCGACTCACTCCCTGGTACCGGTTTTTTATTCCGAATTATTCTGTTGACGGTCCCGAGGCCCAATAGAGGCCCCAAGCGGCAGGAAATAGCGAAACGCCTCCCGTCGTGACTTTTTCGTGACTCGACGGGGTCCGGATTGAGGGCCTTCCTGTCCTCCTCAATCCTGCCCGATTCGGACGCGTCCCCGAGGCGCTCAGTATACCGCTTCGTGTCCAGCCCCCTCTGCGCGGCCACCGCTGACGCCATGGCGCCGACAGGGGGCGCTCGGGAAAGCGCCGCGGCAAGGGTAGAACCAACACAAGCCGACCACACGAGCCTATCAAGTGCCCTTCATCGAAGAGAGAGAGAGAGAGAGAGAGAGAGAGAAAAGAGAGAGAGAGAGAGAGAAACAAAAGAAATAAATAAAGAAATAAACAAAACAGGAAAGCGAGAAACAACACATAGAGAGATATAATGAACGAGGATGACGAAAGAGAGGGGGGATGAGGAAGGGAAGAAGAACTAGGAGAGTGGCAGGGAAAACGGGAAAAAGATAAATAAAAAAAGATGGCGGATGGAGGCGGAGGGGAAATTTAGGAAATACGGAATACGGGGAATGGGGAGGCCGGATGGAGACGAAAGCCGAGAACACGGTGGATGAAGTGGGATGGAGGAGGGGCGGATGAGGATAAGGAGGAATGCACCGCAGCATGTGGATAACCACGACGGTTGCCACTGGCACACCCGTGCAGCTCTGCACACGATGTGGGGCCACTGCTGCTCCCAGTCCCCCTCCTTCGCAGGGCCTGAGCTGCATCGGATGGCGGAATCGGATCGGATCGGAGACGGATCGGATCGCCGACAGAGCGTCCCGAGTCGAATCGAAATCGGCCCGCCGCGCCCGGCTCGGGCCGGTCCTGGCCGATGAGGGTGCGCGCGCCACCGCGTGCAGAGGTGCACCCGAGCGGAAGCACCAAGCGGCGTCCGAAAACGGATGGACGCATCCGGCGAAGCGCACGTCGAATGCACGAAACCGACGGGGACTGCACCGATACGCTCAAATGCCAATGCCAATGCCGAATGAACCCGTACCAATTTCCTGAGTCGACATGTCCGGGGGGGGCAGGAGAGCCCAAAATCGAATTGAAAAATCGGATCGGCGAACGAAGTGAATCGGATCGTCGGAAATCGGCAGCCGAGTCGGGAGAAATCGAATCGAAAGAAATCGGCAGGCCAATTGGCCTCGATTTGAAAAGTCGGAATCCACATCGGAATTCGAAGTCGAATCGCAATCGGAATTGGAAGTCATCGAACTCGAATTCGCCGACGTCTTGGGGCTCATCGGTGTGTGAGATGTTTCCCCCTCCCCAAACCCCTACCCCGGGAGCCCGGCCCGGTCAATTTGGAGGGGGGGCGGTCCCCCGGGGCGGTGGGTGAACGCGTCGGGGGGGGGGGCAGAGGGCCCCAAAACAGGTCCAGAGGGCCCCAATTGGCCCTTGGGGCGGTCCGCGAGGGCCACGAATCGCTGAAAGATAGATTCCAAACGCCCACGCTGGCCTCCAAACGGCACAGGAGGTCCCCAGCGCGCCCCAAGAAGACTCCAAGAGGCGTCCCAAGAGGGCCTCCAGAAACAAAAGTCGTCCCATTCCCTATGCATTCGCCCCTTCGGCGTTCACAACGTCCCAGGCGGCCCAAGAGGCCTTCAAGTTCGCCCCAAGACGGGCCAAGAGGCCCCCAAGAGGGCTCCAAGTTCCAAGACGACCCAAGAGGGCCTCAAGACGGCCGAAGAAACCCCCAAGGCGGCCCAGGAGGGCCCCAAGATAGTCTTAAGAGGGGGCCCGGAACCCGAACGGATATTTCGACTCATCCACCCCAAGACGCCTCCGGGCTGCCCCAAGGAGCCTCCAACAGGCCCCCAGGGAGCCCCAATATGGCAGCAAAAAGCCCCCAAGATGCCCCCAACAACTGCCTTCAAGCCGCCCCCGAGACGCATCCCACGAGACCTCATCCGCCATCCGAGTGGCCTCAGACCCTTAACCCAGGTACGGTGGCGGGATGTGCCGAATGCCATTCGATAATCATTCGTCGGGTGTTCTGACAGATGCCCTCCGTCTGTACACGTGGCTTCTCGCCCGTTCCTCCACGCGTGCCCGTTACCCTTTGACGTGCCCAACCCATTTGAGCTTGCCAGGACAATGACAGTGCAGGCGGCGTTATATGTTGTGCAAGCTACATGGGATGCACTCACGTGGCACGATTCACAAGACAACAACAGAGGGACGAGGAGCGAGGGCCCAGGCTTGAGGAGGACCTGGGGGCAGGAACGAATGGCAGGAGAAGGCTGCGCGGGGGGCCGAATCGTCAGCGCGGCAGCAGCAGAGGGAAGGTGGCAGGGGGCAGGGGACGACGACGACGACAGTGACGGGAGGAAGCCGAAGAGTGTTGCCGTTGTCGGTCGTACGCTAAAGATGCAGCGCTGCCTGCGCCATGTCGCCGCGGCGCGCGAAACAATTATTGAACCTGCTTGGAGTTAGTGCAAGAACCGCGCTGGCGCCGCCGCGGCAGCACGTGCTGGACCTCCTCCCCTGGCTCCTCCTCCTCCTCCTCCTCCTCCTCTGACTCGTCTTCCTCCTCGTCCTCCTCCTCCTCCTCCTCCGTCTCCTCCGTCTCCTCCTCCTCCTCCTCCTCCTTCTCCTCCTCCTCCGCCTGTCCTCCTCCGCCGCCTCGGGACCCCTCACAAGCTATCCCTGCACACCTGCCGGGACTCTGACGACCCCAGAACTCGAAACAACCCCCAGGTAACAGAGCAAGGCGTTCGCTGGACCCCAGGGATGGAGAGCTCTCCTGGTGGTCTGGGTAAGACGTCACTCCGCTGCACCCCGCAGCAACCCTCTAACGTGGCGACAATTTCGCAGATCACAGCCCCACAGGTATGGCGGGGTCTCGTGCTGGTCCGCGTAAGACGTCACTCCGCTGCACCCCCCAGCAGCCCTCGAAAGTGGCGGCAGTTTCGCAAATCGCAGCCACACACGGATTGCGACGTCTCTGGTCTGGGTAAGACGTCACTCCGCTGCACCCCCCAGCAGCCCTCGAAAGTGGCGACAGTTTCGCAGATCGCAGCCACACACAGATGGCGAGGTCTCCTGGTGGTCTGGGTAACATGTCACTCCGCTGCCCCCCCCCCGGCAGCCCTCATTAGTGGCGACAGTTTCGCAGATCCCAGCCCCCCCAGGGATGACCAAGCAGGAGGCAAGCTGGCATGCAGGAAGGAACGAGGCGAGAAGCAGAAGAGAAGAGGAGAGGAGGGGGCGGGAGAAGGAGAAGACACGCAGGCAGTGTTCTATTCAAAAAAACGAGTACCCAACGCAAGAGGGTTAGGAAAAAACACCTCCAATACGTCCCCGAGACGCCTCCCATGACACCTCATCAGCCATCCGAGTGGTCTCAGACCCGTAACCCAAGCACGGTGGAGGCATGTGCCGAAGGCCATTCGATAATCAGTCGTCTGGTGTTTTGACAGATGCCCTCTGTCAGTGTACGGAGGTTCTCGCCCCATTCCCCATGCGTGCACAGCGAATGCTGAGAATGTCAGCCCAAGAGGTCCCGAAAAAGCCCCCAAGAGGCCCCCATGAACCCCCAAAAGAGGTCCACGAAGCCCCCTAAAGGCGCACCAAAGGCCCTCAGGAGCAACACGCAACAACCGCCAGTTCCCCCAAGGGGTCGGCGGTGTGGCGTAAGCCCAAGAATCGAATCAAATCGAGAAATCCGAGTCGAGCCCAATGGGGGGGACGCTCTGTCAATGCCCGATGTTCTTCATGGCCACCTGCGGCTGCCAGCCCTCCTCGCCCTCCCCCGGAGGCCGGTAGCGCCCACGAGGGGGGCGACGGGGGGCGAGGGCCTTCCAAGGAGGGGCAGGGGCTCCTCGGGAACCCTCCTCGGGCGGGCGTTAAAAAGGGGGCGGGCCGAACTGGGGGGTGAAGGAAGGGGCCAGAAGGTGTCCAACCGTGGCCTTTTTCTCACCTCCCATTTGGACCCCTATTGGGTCCTTTTCCTCCCCCATTGAGGTCACCCGCATTGCCACCCGCCCGAGCCTCTGGTCCCTTCCAGGAAGCCCCCCTGCCTCCGCACAGGGCCGCCCCCCCTTTCTGCCGACGGTGTCTGGCGCGGCGTCCTTGGCCTTCTCGCAGGCGCTGATGAGGGCGTTATATGTGATCACGTCGGGGACGACGCCCTGCTGCATCATCTCCTCCCGCTCGCAGGCGGCGTGAGGGGGTCCCCCCCTGCTCCATCTGGCCACCTTTGCCCTCCCCGTCCCCCCTTGGTGGAGCCATTGGGGGAAAGATGATGTCACCATCCTACCCAGATTTGGTTTGTCATGAACCTTGGGAGCTGAAATTCGCTTGCACGTTCGGTGGCGGCAGTGCCAATGGCTCCGATGTTTCCTTCTTGTTCGATCGCGAAAGACTCCAGAACACATATGGAACCAACGTGGATATTGGATCCAACCATCGTGCCGTGCACTGCCGTGTGCCCATCCCGACACCGACGAGCACCCGAGAAGGTGTACCCCTTCCACCGTCCCCGCACCCTTTAAAAGACGGGGCTCTTTCAGAAGGGCGTCCTGACTCTGCCCCCCAGTGATCGCTGCCAATGCTGGCAACTCTTCCGCCCGTTCGACGAGGAAGCCCTGTTTGGACTTGGCCATGCGACACTCGGCAGGCTGGCCGCGTCTCACGTGCCATACAACTACCCCGAGAGACACGATGATGCAAACAAAACGTGCGTACACACCGACCGCTACGAACCACGCATCCATTCACGACCTCCCCTCCCCACCCCTTCGCCTCACAACCCTGTCCCCACCTCGCCCTCTTCCTCGTCGTCTTCCTTCGCCTCCCCATCCGCCCACTCCTCCTCCTCCTCCTCCCTCCTCCTCCTCCTCCTCCTCCTCCTCCTCCTCCTCCTCCTCCTCCTCCTCCTCCCCTCCCCCTCCCCCTCCCCCTCCCCTCCCCCTCCCCCTCCCCCCCTCCCCCCCCCCCCCCCCCCCCTCCCCCCTCCCCCTCCCCCCCTCCCCCGCCCGCCCGTTCCTCCTATTCCTCCTCTTCCTTCTCCTCCTCCTTCTCCTCCTCCCTCCTCCTCCTCCTCCCCCTCCTCCTCCTCCTCCCCCTCCTCCTCCTCCTCCTCCTCCTCCTTTTCCGTTTCTCCTCTCTCCTCCTCCTCCTCCTCCTCCTCCTCCTCCTCCCCCTCCTCCTCCTCCCCTCCTCCTCCTAGTTATCCTCCTCGTCCTCCTCCTCGTTTTCCTCCTCGTTCTCTTCCCCCTCCCCCGTCCTCCTCCCTTTTCCTCCTCCTCCTCCTCCTCCTCCTCCTTCTCGCCCTCCTTCCTTGTTGTCGGTGTTGCTTAGTGCTATTGGCCGCGTCGCAGAGGGCTGGCGCGCGATCGCAAACTTGTCCTCGCGCTCGGCCCCCCGTGGGCAGGAAGGCGCTGAACGAGAGATTAAACAGGGGCGGGAGACGTCCCCCCTGCAGAGGCGCCTCGGACATCTCACGCAATGTTTCGTGCTTTTTCTCTGTATTTGCCCAGACAAAGTGGGGCAACCCATCGGGGCCGACGGCTGAGTTTTTCTTGCTTCCCCAACATCATCGCAAAACTATCGTAGGGCACGACGTAGGCGGGGCTGGGGATGGCGGTTTGGACGCGGGGCAGGCACTTCTGGGAGGCCTCTGGTGACATCTCGGCGCCCCCAAGAACCTCGGCCCAGTGCCCCCTGCGAACTTGCGCGCCAGCGCCAGGGTCAGCGATGGCAAGCCCCCGGGGGTCTCAATTTTGGAGAAGCCCGAGCCCCCGACGCATCGGCGGCCAACCGGCCCGGCGCCGCCGCAGCGCTTGTGCGCGAACAGCCCGGGAAGAAGTCGGACGGTCGTTGGCTTCATTCTCAGACGTGGGGCCGTCGATTTGCTGGGCGTTCTGCTCGGTTGCGTGAAATTTCTCTCAATCGGAGAACTTGCGCGCGTCGGTGTCAACAAACTCGTGCAATGCGGGAAACCCGCTGCGCGTTCGTCATGTTCCACGACCTTGACGAGAAACGACCCCCCGAGCAAACAGCGCCCCGGATATTGAATTGGCGATGGGGGGGTGTGATTCGGCAAATTCTTCACGCGCTGATTGCCCGGCTGCAGAAGCGGTCCACGGGGTCCACGGCGAGGTCGACTTGGCTGAAGATGCGCTCGACATGCCCAGGCGACCTTACGCATCGCAACCCGGCTCGAAACAGCAGCGCCGGAGCCCTTGCTCGGAGTCAGGCTGAAGGAGACACAAGCGTGATAGCCGACGTCGGCGGCGACGAAGACGCCGCCGTGCACTCCCGTCGTCGGGTGGAGGTCGCGCAGGGCGGAAGCTCTGGCGCAGGTTCGATCGAGACGACCGACCGATTCAAGAGCGCCGCGGTCATTGCGAAGGCGACCGGTCATTCTTGCTCCACTTCAATCAACAGTAGGAAGCGATCCTGCAATAACAAGTCGGGATGGCACGAGCTGGAAGAGTTGCCCGCGCTCGCTCGGCAGTCGATTGCTGTCTGACCTCGCCCGGAGCATAAAGGTTAAGGTCGTCACAACAGAAGCTCGCGCAAGACGAAGGCCTGGCAACGCCTGGGCGGCAACAGAGATGACGCAACGTTTCTGATGAACGGCCGCATCAGGACCGAGATGCAAGTTGAGGGCGCGAATGCACCCGTGGGGCCCAGAGAGGAGCACCCCGTGGACGCGACCAGCCCGGTGAGCCTTGCGCCTGGCAAATTTAAACTTATAGAGGGAGTCCTTTTGCACAGAAATCGCCACCTGCGGAAATTATAGAATGGTCAATACTCAACGCGCGATGCCGAATAAAAAAGGCGACTGGGCGTCTCGTCGCCGCCAATTGACCCGTGGGCCTCTTGCAAGAGTAGGATGGCATGTCTTTCGGCCGAATGACAGAGCCCCCCTTGGTTTCCCCCGCGGGGCCCACGGTTTCCCGCGACGCTTCCATGAAGAGCCTGGGAGCTCCAGGAACAGATGCTGAACGCAGTAAATATCGACGAACGCGCGGGAGGACCCCCCCCGCCAAGGAAAAAACTGCTGCTCGAAGAGGAGGAGGGGCCAGAGGGCAAGGAGGTGCCGGAAAATGGTCTGCCTGCCCGACAGTCGCCAGGGTTCCCCAGCAGACGCGCTCGCTTCTGAAGGGGAGAGAGAGACAGAGTGCCTGCTACTGATGGTGCACTCCGTCTGGCGGTGGCCGCTGCGCCGCGGGCGCTCCTCGTCGGAACTGACGGCGGCGGAGGTGGTAGAAACTCCACTCCATGTGCTGCCGCCGCAGCTTCTCGTCAGCGGAATACTGCCGTGCTCCCGACATCAAAACGAGCGCGTTCTGCGGTCGCTTCGAAAGGGGGGGGGCCCCCCCCCCGCCCCCCCCTCTCCCGTGACGGAGGGGGGGGGTTCCCCCCCCCCCCCGCCTCTCTCCCTCTCCTTGGCTGGCGGCGGAAGCGGCGGCGGGGACGACGATTTCTTTTTCTGGGCTGGCGCCGGCGCCTGGGGCGGCGGGCGGCGGCGGCGGGGAGCGTCGACGAGGACGACGGTGGTGGTGGTGGTGGTGGGTTGTGGTGGTGGCGGTTGTGGTGGTGGCGGTGGTGGTGGTTGTGGTGGTGGTGATGGTGTGGTTTGTTGTGGTGGTGGTGATTGTGGTGGTGGTTGGTGGTGGTGGCGGTGGTGGTGGTGGTATGGTGGTGGTGTGGTGATTGTTTGTGGTGGTGGTGGGTTGTGGTGGTGCTGGTGTTTTGGTGGTGGTGTGGTGGTGGTTTGTGGTGGTGGTGGTGGTGGGTTGTGTTGGTGGCGGTGGTTTGTGGAGGTGGCGCTGGTGGTGGTGGTGGCGGCGGTGGTGGTGGTGGTGTGGTGGTTTGTGATGGTGGGTTGTGCTGCTGGTAGTGGTGGTGGTTGTTTGCGGTGGTGGTGGTGGCGTGGTAGATTGTGGTGGTGGTGGTGGTAGTGGTGGGTGTTTGTGGTGGTGGTGGCGACGGTGAGTTGTGGTGGTGATGTTGGTGGTGGCTGTGGTGGTGGTGGTGGTTGTGTGGTGGGTTGGTGGTGGTGGTGGGTTGAGGCGGTTGTGGTGGTAGTGGTGGTGGTGGTGGTTGTTGCGTCCCCGCTGTCGCCGGCGCCAGCGCCGGCGCTGCTGGCCGCCGCCAGCGCCGGCGCCCGCGCCATGGGGGGGGGGTTGAACCCCCACTCCCCCCTGAGCATAAACAGGCATGACAAACGAAAAAAGAGAATAAGGAGCAGGAGGGGGAAGACCAGAAACACAAGACACTGATCAGGAGCTGCGGGAAGACAGCGAGCAAGAAGATGAACAAGAGGCGGAGAACGAGGAATAGAAGCCGGAAGTGTAGAAGCAGGGAAACAATCCCCCCCCATCATCCCGCTTATGGATTTCCTCCCCCTTTCACCATCCCACCTTGCACACAGGCACCCTCGCAAGCTCCCAAAAACACGCCGACGCAATTCCTCCCCCTCACCGCCGTCCTCCTATCCCTGGCTGACCCCCCGTCGTCATCCTTCTCGTCCCTCCCGTCTTCATCGACGTCCTGATTGTCGTCGTCATCGTCGTTGTCCCCCTACTCCTCAGGTGCCAATGGGATGGAGCGTCCAAAGGGTCGTTTCCATCGCCCTTGTAACAATCTCGGAGCGGAGGATTCCAAGAGTTGTGCACTCCCATGAAAGCCCATTTCAAGACAGGCCCCTGCAATAAACCCGCATAGTACGGATGAGCAACCAAGGTTACCCATCCACCCTTCCCCTTCGGCCCATCCTTGGCCGCGCCCCGCTCGCACAATGCCTGCATGGCCTTCCAACGCCCTTGCATCCTTCTCGCGCGTCCTTGGTAGACGGGTTGACTGGTTTACGGTCGAGGGTAGCCCAGGAATAAAGTTTCTCCCCCTCCTCCTCCTCCTTCCCCAACTGCAGAAAAAAAAAGCCCCCCCCCCCTCCTCCTCCTCCTCCTCCTCCTCCCCCTCCTCCTCCTCCTCCTCCTCCTCCTCCTCCTCCTCCTTCCCCTCCTCCTCCTCCTGGAGTAAAGTTTCTCCCCCTCCTCCTCCTCCTTCCCCTGCTGCAGAAAAAAAAAGGCCCCCCCTTCATGCTCGGCCGCGGCGGGGCGCCGCTCCCCCCCCTCCCCTTCCCCCCTCCTCGAAGAGGGCGAACGCCTTCTCGAGCTGCTTGCTGTTCTCGCAAGCACTGGCCGCGCGGCAGGAGGGGGGGGCTCCAGGCGTTTCGCTCCAGGGTTCCGATAGCGCTCGGGCATCGCGCGCCGGGTGCACTGAGATCCCCCAAGTATCCTCGCGCAACTCCACCGTCTCCAGATTCCCCCTCCAAGTCCCCCTCCCCCTTTTCCTCTTCGCCCCGTCTTCCTTCCTCTCTGCTGATTTCCTTGTTCCTTTTTCCCTTTCTTCCCCGTCCTCCCGCAACGCCTCCTCCTTCTCTTCCTCCTCCTCTTCTTCCTTCTTTCCTCCCTCGTCGTCGTCGTCGTCCTCCTCCTCCTCCTCCCCCTCCTCTTCCTCCTCTTCCTCCTCCTCCTCCTTGCTGCCCACTCATCCTTTCGCCCACATCCTCTTGCCATCGATCCCGGAGGAAAAAACGGCTGGCACTCGCCAATCCGCTGGCCGGGGGGGGAGGACCTGATGAGGGCGCTGTACGTGATGACGTTCGGCGTGACCCGCCGCGCCTTCATCTCATCGAAGACCTTGCGCTCAAACGGCGATGCCGGAAACGACGCCGACGACAACGACGAAAGACGACGGAAACGGAAACGGCGACGACGACGAGGACGACGGCGAGGACGACGAGGACGACGATTATGTCGGCGAATCGATGATGCGGCGGACCTCGCCCCTATTCGCGCCGCGCGTAATCCACGACATGCTGTAGTTGGCGCTGGGGGACGCGCTGTCTGACGACGACTTTCTGGCGCCCTCGAAGTCGGCGGTGCAGATGACGTCGAAGTCGTGATCTCCTAGTGCTAGTGATGTGTCCCATCTTCGTTCTGACGCGCAGGCGGGTCTCGCTGGCCCTGCTGCCCGCTTCTGCCCGTTTAGGTGTTCGGGGCCCCCAAGCGGGGCGGCGGCAGCGCCGCGCGGTGAGTCGGCGGGGATTCGGGGTCGCCGCGCGTTCTTGGAGCTCGGGTCATTCTCCGAGGACGTCTCGGGCATCCGAGGTCCCAAAACCGTGCGTAGATGGGCCGTGCGATGAGGTCTTGGAGGATTTCGAGGTCACCGCGCGGTCTGTCACCGCGCCACTTCGGGACTCCCAATAAGTCGACGGGGCCAGCCTGGCGGGCCGGCCCAGCAATTTCCTGGCGGGGCAGCAATTTGGGGCCGTCGGTGCCACAGGCATGAGAACAAGACCGGTCGAAACCACTTCGGACCGTCTAGGAAACGCTGCGGACCGATTACAACCACTGACTTCGGACTGATCGCAAAATGTAGCATTTCTTTTGTAGTCCTGGAAGGCGAGCGCCTGATTGCAACCGGGAGAGCTTGCTTCAGCTTCCCTGGACTTGAAGGTTTCTTAAGGGTTCCTGATGGATCCGTGGGGATTCCTGAATGATTCCTGTAGATTATTTGGCGTTTCTTGAAAACTTCGGCGCCGCCGTAGAAGGCCCCGGCGCGATTCTCAAGGATTTCTGCGCGTCTGGCGGATTCCTGCATGATTATTGACCATGTCTGCATGTTTCTGGAGGATTGTAGAGTGATTCTTGGAGGTTCCTGACGGATCCCTACAGGGTTCCTGGCGATGTTGGCCTCTTGAGGCCCTCCTGGAGCTCTCTCGTCGGCGCCCGCGGCATCTGCGCGGCCCCCGACTGATGCGCCGCTGTCAATGGTCGGCTACAACCGCGGCCGCAAGAAAGACAACAACTACGACTACTAGTACAACAACTACAACTACGACTACGACTACGACTACGACTACGACTACGACGACGACGACGACGACGACGACGACGACGACGACGACGACGACGACGACGACGACGACGACGACGACGACGACGACGACGACGACGACGACGACGACGACGACGACGACGACGACGACGACGACGACGACGACGACGACGACGACTACTACTACTACTAATACTACTACTGCTACTACTACTACTACTACTACTAGTACTACTACTACTACTACAACAACAACTACTACTACTACTACTACGACTATGGCTACTACTACTACTACTGCTGCTGCTACTACTACTACTAGTACTACGACTACTACTACTAACACGACTACTACTACAACGACTACGGCTACGACTACAACTACGACTCAACCTGCTACTACTCATATAACCACGACAACTACCACTACCACTACTACTACTACTACTACTACTACTACTACTACTACTTCTACTACTTCTACTACTACGACTAGAACTAGTACTCTGACTACGGGACGACGACGACGACGGCTACTACGACTACCAGAACTACTACGAGTGTTACTACTACTACTACTACTACTACTGCTACTACGACTACTACTACTACTACTACTACTACTTCTACTACTACTACTACTACTGGTACCACTACTACTACCACCACCACTACCACTACCACTACTACTACTACTACTACTACGACTACTACTACTACTACTACTACTACTACTACTACTTTCACTTTTACTACTACTACTGGTTTTACTACTACTTTTACTACTACTACTGCTACTACTACTACTACTACTACGACTACTACTACTACTGCTACTCTTACTACTAATACAACGACTACGACTACGACTACTGTTATCACTGCTAGTAGTACTACTACTCCTACGACCACGACTGCTGCGCCTTCTTCTCCTTGTTCTATTACTAGCACGCCTGCGTCGACGACGACTAAGACTACTACTATTACGACTACGACTACGACTACGACTACGACTACTGTTACTATTACTACTACTACTACTACTACTACTACTACTACTACTACTACTACTAGTGCTACTACTACTACTAGTGCTACTACTACTACTTCCACTACTACTACTACTACTACTACTACTTCTACTACTACTACTACTACGAATACGACTACTACTGCTACGACTACGACTACGACTACGACTACGACTACGACTACGACTACGACTACGACTACTACTACGACTACTACTACGACTACTACTACGACTACTACTACTACTACTACTACGACTACTTGTAAGACTACTACTACCACCACCACAACTGCTACCACGACCACTAGAGGTAAGTCTACGACGCCACTCCAGTCACCGCGACTGGCGGTTTGACGCAAGGCGCGTCGCAACCACTTATTTGAACTCCAAACGGGAAGCTCAAGGGAGCTCACTGCGTCCAGAAGCGCTCGCATGCTTTCTTCCGAAAACGCGACCTTATTGAAGCGCCCCGAAAATGTCGCAACAATTTCGGATCGATCGCAACTGGTTGTAATTCATCGGTCCGAAATGGTTCCTGATCGGTCCGAAGTGGTGGCGAAAGGTCGTGCTCCCCCACAGGCGCCGACAGGTCCCCCGGACGTCGCAATGCCCCGAGCCTCCAGATCCACGAGGCGACGGACGAAGGTCGGGAACGACCGAGACCTCGGCATCCTCGATGATGCACTCCAGGACGAGCCGGGCGATTTGGCGGCCCTGCTCGACCATGTGCGTCCGCGGGCCAGCTATCGCCATGATTGCTCTGATCTGGCCGCGGAAGCTGGGGTCCACCGCGCCGCGACGTCGGCCCCCTGGGGGGCGAGTCCGGATCGAGGGGCAATGCGAAAGCAGGTGCCTGGTGGCGCCAAGGCCGCCACGCCTGCCGACGGTAGTTTACGACAACAAAACGCAATGCTGACGTCCGCGCGGGCGTCGTAATTAGCCCGCGGCCCCTGGCGCGCCCCGTAACGGTGCCCATGCGTTGGGGCTGACGAGCTGGATCTTCGGCTTCTTGAACTCGAGGCCGTCGGCAGTGTCATCGCGGCTGTCGCTGCCCACCGCCAGCGCCGCAAGCTGCTTGGGCCGTAGGCCGTAGGCCCCCAGAGCGCGGCTGAAGCTCGCCGAAAACGTCGGTGGGGGCGCGCGCGCGGCCGCCCGGCGCAGACTCCGGATCGGGGCGGGCGGCGCTGGGGCCCAACGTGATCTCGCGACCGCCTGGCCCAGGGAAGGCGAGGCGCCCGTCGCGGGCGCCCGTCTCCGCCACTCTGTTGTTGGACTGCGCGGGCTGCAGACCTACCTGCAAAGGCAGGGAGGTCAGCGCCTGCGCCCTCCACGGCTGGAGTGCGCGCGCAGTGCTGACTGGTCGCGCCGTCGCGGGAGGGTCGTCTCGGTGGAGCAGTGAACCTCGCAGCGCGCAGCCTGCGACCCATTGCCAAACCCTGCTACGTGCAGTGGGGCCAACAAATTTTCGGAGGGCCGCAGTCTCGCCGGCTGGGCTTCGTCGGCCAAACTCGTGGCGAGGCGCAATTCCTGGTGCTTCGCCCAAGCACCGGCGTCGACTGCGACGCCTAGGCAGCCACCCGGTAAAACCTACGCCCGCCAGGTAGCGCGGCGACTCGTTCGATGAATTCGAGCCTGTGCCCGACGAGGTCGTCCACCGCGGGGGCGTCGGCCTGCGTGGTGCCATGCGCAGGTCCAGATGGGCGTCGCAGGGCACCGCGGTGCCCTCTGCAGGCATGGGGCTGGGCGAACTGCCCCGCGACTGCGCGAGGTCTAGCCGCGGCGGCCTGGGGGCAGAGGCTGGTCCAGGAGGCTGCGAGAGGTCCCGCTGCGGCGCGGTCTCTTCTCGCGCGCCCTCGTCCGCTGCCGCGCGGGCCAGCGTTGCGGACGCGGGGCCCGCCAGTGCCCGACCTGCACCTACATGGCGCGGGAACAAGCATCGATGCCTGCGGGGCCGCGGCGTGCCGGACAGTGCCCCACGCGGGCGCTCGTGTTCTTCGTATGCTGCTGATGGCACGTCTCATGCAAGATGCGGCGGCGCTGCAGGCGCGCCACCCTCTCGCCATGAAGGAAGACCTCGAAGCAGATGGGGCACTCCCCATCGTCGCCGGTGAAGGTAGCAACTGGGGGAGGCTCAGTGGGCGCCGCGGCCGGCGCAGGTGGAGGATTGACGAGCGTTTCTGTCCACTGGGGACCGTTTGGAATGCTTTGGGGGCCTCTTTTTGGTCCTCTTTGGGGCCTCGTGGGGCCTCTAGGACTCTAGGGGGCGTCTTGGGCTCTCTTGGGGGCCTCTTGGGGGGCCTCTTGGGGCGGAAGGCTCGAATTGTCAGCTCGTGTTTCCCCTCTGAATCCCCTCTTGGGGCCATTTTGGGCGGCGCCTTTGGGGCCGTTTTGGGGCATTCTTGGGCCGTTTTGGGACTCTCTTGCGCCGTCGTGGCGCCCTCTTTGAGTGCCTCTTGGGCCATCTTGAACTGATTTCTGGTGTCTCGTGGGCTGACTGGGACCGCCAGAAGCACGAAACATCGAAAACACGAACAACCTTCAAAAACCAGAGAAAAACACATACTGGTTTCGCCTCCTGATGGCCTCCTGGGAGTTCTTTTGAAGGCATCTTGGCCGTCTTAAAGCCCATTTGGACTGTCTTGAAGCCATGTTGGACCAATTTTGAAACGCTCTTGTGCGGTCTTGGGCTCTCTTGGAGCGTTCTTGGGCCATCTTGGCGCCCTCTTGGACGTCTCTCGGGACCTCTCGTCGCCCTCTCGCGTTCAG